TTTTAATTAGCGCGGACTATAGTTTTAAATTCCTAGGCGATTGGAAAACTTATTTCAACGGATAAAACTACCCTACTAAAATTACCCGACGGGTAAATCCGATACTTTCCCGAAGTAGGTGTCTGTTTATCCAAAACTTTAAAACTCGATAGAAAATATTTAAGCCAAGAATTTCATCGAATTTCTTTTCGTGGTTGGTTTTAGCGTTACAAAATTGGTGTTTATGACGAAAATTTAAATTAAAAGCAATAAAATATTTATTACAGGCTTTTACAACAAAATTATGAATAATTTAATTAACAGAAATCAGTAAAACGATACGTAAAATGGAATCGCACATCTCCCGGGAAATGTACAAGTAGGTATTTTTGTTTTTCAAGTATCATTGACAGCCAACTAATTAATAAGTTATTTAATAATAAAATAAATTAGTATTTACCTTTGTTTTTATTATAATTAACCATAAACCAATTTAATCATAGATATCCGGTGTTTTTCGTATGGAGTTTGACAGATTTTTATACATAGTTAAAGTAAGATGGTGTAACCCAGGCTAACCGCCCGTCCAGGTTATTCACAAACGATGTTTGCTAAAAGTGAAGCAGCAAATCGAACGCATAGCGTTGAATACAGCTCTGTGATTGCAGTGAAGTTAGTGTGTCACCCTATGCATCTAAGCGCACTGTGAGACCTCATAGTAATGTTTGTGAATACGGGGGTGAGTGTACTTTGTTTTCAATACGTTTTAAATGTTGTATTTCTATATCTTTTCATCCTTCACTGTCAATATTTTAGGCTGCTTACTTTGTCATTTACTTATATGGGTTTAAATCAGGGCACCCACCTGGCGTCACCTGGCTTTCACCCCAGTTATAGTGGGGAGTTCATTTTATCGCCACTTCTCTTTACGACACTGTTTTAATTATACATTCATAATTTTAATTAAGTTTTCAACATTTTAATGTCTTATACGCTTGAGCTTTTGTTTGCTTTATAAAATACTCGTACAGCCGTATTATATTCTGTAGTAAATTAAGGTGTTCATTAGAATCGAAGTAAGAGATAAAACTGGAAACTTCTATAGATACCTTTAGGCCATTATTGTTACCCAACTTTCAAAGACATAAGAACTGAAGTTGTGAATAATAAGGTCAAATCCCTAAAAATTGTATTCAAGTTAGAATAATCTGAATTATATTTATCTTAGGATGTAATGACAAATGAACCGCAATCAATTAGGTGCGTGACAATAAATTTATTATTAAGTAAAACTCTATTTACGTTTTTCTGTACAGTGCTTTGAAAATAGGATTTTCCTTTCATACCAAATCCCAAATCATTAGCCTAGTAGGTAATTAATCAACGTTTTCATTTAATGTTAGATTAATTAGTTATTGTCGCTCTGAGGGCCGCAACAAAAACAAGCAACGTGCTACGCATATAATGTCGCAAGGGTGGGAAGGGCCCGTATTGTATAATATGCTGTTAAGAAATAATAAAGCGAATAATAATGATCGAATTATTCAGCCATATTTCTCACTAAATAAGTCAAAATATTAGTCGCCGTTGATATTTATGCCAAATCCGCTCCAGTCCAGAAGCTTGAAGACATCTTCCAGGGCGGTAGTAAACAGTTTCGGAGATATGACGGCGCTGGACCGTTCATTGTGGAAAAATTTGGAGGTCTTTGTCCAGCAGTGGACGTCATTTGGCTGAACGAACGAACGAACGAAGTCAAATATTAACCTACCTTTGTCGTAGATAACTATGTTTAAATTTACCTGTAAAGTCTTTTCACTACAGTGACGTCATAAAACGCGTGTTACAAACATGAGAGAGAACGTGTATATTTTGATGGTTAGTCGTTGCCCAACTGTGGACTTCATTCAGCTTCAATAGGTTGTATTTTATAACAGTACCTATAACCTGGTGTGCTGTTAACTGACAGATAATAAATACCTAAACAAAGGTCCAAAACTCCGCAAAAATATTAACAACACCATTTTTTCAGGCTCATCCTTAGTTTGTGATTTTGTTCATTTAAATTTTCATCATTATTTCTCGTCAAGATGAAGTGAGCGTAAATAAAATACCATTAGCCTATTAATATTCTTACCCTTTTGACGGTGAGCGCCGATTTCTGCAGAATAATGTTGTCCATTGTTCGATATCGATATCTTGATCTTCTATTGTGTCGCCTGTCGCAGCCACTTGAGATGGCTGGAACAGACCGCACTTCCCGAAGCAAATTATAGTCTATCTTTCTTTTATAACAATCACAAGTTCACAACTTGATTAAAATTAAAATTCACCAATCACACTTATACACCAAACAAACTACCTACACTTTTGTTTTGGCCACCACCTCACTATTGTGGCTATAGCACTCCACAAACTGTTTTTCTAATGTACTTGATATCCCACTGAAGTGCGTAGAGGGCCACGCACCACGCGCCACTAATTTTACTCACGCGAATGCCAATGTTGCCAGTAACTTAAAATAAATTAAGTATAGAAAAAAAATGAAACATTATAGTTACAATATTTTTTACTGTATTTTGTCAAGTTGGTAGGTTTTTGTTAAAATGGCATATTTAGAAATTGGCTTGACTATGGTCTAAAGCAAAAGTTAATTAAAATCGATTTATCGACATTAAAATTATCGACTATTGACACGACTATTATAAAATCGAGGAAGTTTTAATTGGCATCGTCATCTATTTGGATTATCGCGCTGTCCAATCTTTGTCTGTCGAGACAACCTTGGAAACTTTTGTAATTGATTAGGTTAACGAAACAAACAAATGTTCAAAAATTTTTTGGAGTTGCCATCGATGTTTTTTTACGGAAAAAGGAAGTTGTCATGCCTAAAACTGAAAACTTTTATTGACTTTTTGTTAAGTCTGATGAGCTAGTTTGTTTCCACAGTTTGTAGGTATGTATGTTATTTAAGAAGTAGGTAGGTACATAATAATAATCATGTCATGTCATGAATATGAGAAAGTTTTTCTCAAAATGAAAACGTGGAAAAATAATATTATGTCCTACTACTGACATAATGGAATCAAACATGAACAGAAGGTAGTCTTGAAATTATTTTCGTAATGTTACCTACAGTAAAAAAGCTGTCGCAAAATACATTTTTCATAATATGGTTTTCAGTCTTCTAACCCATTTAACAATCGTATTTTGATTTTATTCCTTTTACAAATTAGTCATACTTAATTATTTCAAATACCTCAATTAACTTTCTACTATTTAGTGTGTCCCTTTTAATATATACCTAATAATATCTTCCCGCGGGTGTCGTAAGAGGCGACTTAGGGACTACACATCAAACAGAGAATGGGCAGCAGCGCTCTCTGAAAAACATCAATCTTTTAAACTGCGATCTCCAACCCGCCTGCCAAGCGTGGAGATTATGGCAAAACCCTCCACTATAGTGGAGGAGGCTCATAGTCCAGCAGTGGACTGTAAAGGGCTGTTGATGATGATGATGAATATCAAATAATCCTAGTGAATTAGACCTTCAATTCAAACGAACTAATTCCGTTCCATTGGTTTCCTTTTCGTTCACAAACAAAACGCTCTGGTTGGATTATTAATTCATTGAAAACGCCGGCAGTAATACCCTTTGAACGGGAAATTTATTAGCTTTACTTTTAGGAACGTGTAATAGTTGGTATAACACATATTCATTTGAGAAAGTAGAAAATCACGCATCTTTCACTAATTAGGTATGTAAAAGCTAGGTTATATTAAAGAAAGCTTCTTTCATTCTTTCTTCTTTAAAAAACTATGTTATAATAAAAAAAAATGTGTATTTATAAATAACAGCTTTGAATAATATAATTCCACCAATTTGAGTCGGGATTTCGTATTTGGATATTATGAAATATAAGAAAGCTTAAGAACTGCTTTTTTTTTCAGGGAAATACAATAATACCTTTCAAACTACAATATTGCAAACAAATAAATTAAATAACAAAATCGACGCGAGCAAAGCCGAGGGCACAAGCTAGTAAAGTTTAAGTGATAGAATTTACAGGATTAGATCAGTAGGCATAATTTAGCCGAAACTTTTTTGGCAAGTTCCAGCCGAACTGCAATTTCGTTGCCAATTTCAGGAACTTATCAATCACTTAGCAGATCTATCCATCAATCGGAGGGTCCCTAACGATGTTTCCTTTTTAGTGACTATTTTTTTACTGTAGCAAGTAATTTATGTAATTGTAACAAGAAACATTAATGCAATAAAAATGTATACCTACCTAATAAGTAGGTAATCCAATGTGCTGTCGACTACGTGTCATCTTACCTATTTTTATGTCATTTAAACCTATAACTACTAATAAAATTCCAGCTCATTGATATATTTTTTACACGAGACAATATTTTCTGTTTGGGGGTTCCGAGTTCCGACTCTCCCAGTAGTAACAAAAAATATGACAGGAGTGCCTCAAAAGAAGCATCAGAGACAGGTACCTACACATACGTAAACCTTTGATTTATAGGTAACCATTATATTGGTGCAAGTTATATTTTCTACTGGCTCGGGGCCCTAATTTATATTTTATGGAACTCTTCAATCATACAAATACTCGTACATATAAAATTTTCTTCTCCACGCTGCGTCGGCATCTCAGCATAATCACGCCCTTAGCTTGAAGAATCGTTTCAATACCTCTAAGAATCGATACCACGATTCCTAGTTCCTAACGACAGTTTTAATAAAACCGGCACAGTAGCCGGCCAGTTGCAATAAACAAATGAAAATCACCAAACTTCATCCAAGTTTAGTAGACAATAGAGATTCAAGAACGACATTTTTACGAATGTTTCCTTTTATATTCCTCAGTGTATCGCCGAATCATCTTGGCTCTTCGCCAATAAAACTAATACTTACCCCAGCCAGTTACTGCGTCAACTCGAAATTTCCTTGTCTTGTTTTTGCTACAAAAGTGACATCTCCGAGAGTTCAAGCAGGTAAAAAGACTGGATTGTTTAAAACATTTATTATCCCCGCTGTCGGTTCTGACACAATCATTGCTAATCCGCGCTTTACTAAAGGTAAAGCTCCGTTAAAATATAATGTAACAAATATCCATAAAATACAAACGACATTAATTAAAATACTCTAAACCTGATTACTGCGATATAGGTCTCAAAAAAGTTGTAAGAGGTATAAAACATGAAAGAAATTACAGACAATGTGATAACAAAAAATGTTATGGAAATTGTTTTACAGAATACAGCCGAGTAAATAGAGAATTTTATAAAATTACATAGTTTATCTTTTTACAAATTTTGTCTCTTAATGGATCTTATACTTTAGAAATTGAGACGCGTAAGGCACGGCGAAATTACATCTATCTATATTACATAATATTACAACTAATAGACACTCTTGGTAACAATCTTTTATAAACTATCTTGCAAATCGTGATATGTACAAAAATATTTATTCCATATTTTCTATCTAGCTCAGTAATAAATACAAACTTTGTACTCAAAAACGAACATACAAAAAATGAACACGCATAAAACTTTAAAAATGCTGTTCTGTGATGATATCGTATAGTTAAAATGCAGCATTTAACCTTAAAAATAAATAATAACATGCAAATTATTCATCATAACTAAGCAGAATACACGAAACATGTAAAAACGAACTAACAACACTGCAGAATGTATTTCACTTCACAGTATTGGCACCAGTTCACACAATTGTTTCTTTCATATCGGTTACTAGAACCGATACTCTTCAAATCAGGCACGCGAGTTCTCTCTTCTTTGCTTTTCCAGTTGTTTTCGGTGGTTATGTCTTTTCCTTGCGATTATTGCTATTAGTATCACGACAACAGCCAACGCGACTGCTATACCTATCCACCAATACATGTTGTAAGATTCAGTCAGGTTAGGTTTTGATTCTAACATTTTGACAGTCGTTGTCTCTACCCCGTCCTCATCCCCAGTATCGATGATATTGATTTTCGGCGATTCAGATAGATCTGGTATATGTTCATCGGATTCGACAGCGCTATTTTCGTCAAAATTTGCATCGAAATCGTACGTAAGGTCTTTCTCGTCTACGTTAAGTTCAGCAGGATCATAATAAGCGTCTATTGATTCGATATTGTTTAACACAGGATCGAATTGATCGTCTAAATATTCTTCTAACAATCGGTAGTAGTCAATTAGACCGGTGTATTCCAGACCGTTTTCTTTCTTGAATAGCAGATCACTGACGAGTTCAGGCCATTTAACACTGAAGCCTTGGAACATTACGTCACTGGAAAAAATAATTCAACCTTAGTGTCATGAATCACGCAAGGTAAACGAAACTGTAAATTGAATGCAGTAAGTAGTAAAATGTCTTCGTACCTTAATCGATTACTGTGTTCAGCTATATGTTTGATCAAATCAGAATCATCAGACTCGAGTTCTTCAGCGAATGAATGATATATCTGATATTTTAGGATGAGACCCATGAATTTCCTGAAAATTAAATATAATTTTCCCTCAGTAAGTCAATGTGTTCACATAAAATTTTAGACAAAAACAAGGTTTCTAGTAGCACGCTTACCCAATAAAAGGTTTGTTGAATTGAACATAGGGGTCACCTAACAAATCTATATCCGAGGTTTCAAGTTGGGAGAAATTTCTTCTAAATTCGCTCCAACTTGCAGCTGTCTTCGAAGAAGGCGTATTCCCCGTCAGTACTTTGAGTCTCCATTCATCAGCTGCCAGGTAGAAATTTAACCTGCAAGATAAGTAAACATTTAAAACCATATTCTTTTCACTATATCAAAGGTTTTTGAAAAGTGTTTCATTCGTTTTGTATTGAAAGCACGTATTGAATTTCCTTCGAAAACACCCAATTCATACGGCATACCATTGTATCGAAGCCCTTTGTTGCTATTGCCTACATAATTATTGGAATCATTATAATTGAATGCATGACTGCTTCTCTTCCTAATGATGTCGCACGCGTTCCAATAATGTGAGCGAAGTATTTTCAGAATCGAGTTTTAAATTAACGTGAATCTTGAGAGTATCTACATACAACTTATCTATCAATTTGATTTTACTTTGGACTAGGTATCGAATAGTTCACTTTTCATGAAAAATCCACAATTTTTATTCGTTCTAAATAAGAGATTGTCATGATCTGAACCAAACTAGAAAAATAATTTATTTCTTTAGACACTTGTAAATTTTTCAGATTTTTACTGGTGATTATAAACAGCTGTGGGATCAATGGTGACTGTAACAAAACTGTTTTCAAAATGACCCAGTGTGTGTAATGTTGATGCAATTTTCGTCACAAATTACTTACTTAGCTAAGTCCCTTAGGGCGAGTATTAGCTGCAATACCATGCGATGGTGGTTGTTGTTCAGATTGAAGAGCTCGATGTTAAACAGGTCGTTCCTCGCCAAAGCGTGCGGGCTCAATGCCAGCAACGATAAGAACCCTGGAATGGCTTCGTATATTGCTGTAAAAAATATAAGAATTAGCACGAAACGATTGCATCAAGCTAATCTCGTTGACTTATCTCGTTGACAAAGGCTATTTTGCAACATAAATGTATAGTGTGATGTTACTATCGACTGACCACACAGAAGTATCTTCCAGGGATTTTAATAATTTTAGTATCTAGATTTTTATCAGATCAGAATATTTCAAACTGAAAATTGCACAATAGTAATTAAATAGAATAGAATAGAAATAATTAATTGACACAGAAAACAGTAATAACAATTACGAGTTTAAAATTATTACCTACTTGGCAATCTAGTAGAGATAAAGATAGGTAACTACTACAGTCCCCAAAATTAACTATAAAATGAATCAGTTGAAAAAGTAAGAATTTATTTTAACAAGAACCTTTACTAATGTTAAAGTTATTAAAGGGTTTGGTCTTAAGAAAGTCTTAGGTAAACTACAATTTTAATTAACTAATCTAGTAGATACCTAAATAGATTCTGATTTCTAAAACTTCCAAGAATTGTTTGAAATTCCAAAGATAAATGCTACTTCATAAGGACGAGGGCTAAATTAGTCAATCCTCAACTTTAATTGAAAAGTTGGAGTTATAACAACAGTATCAGTTACAGTCTCAAGTTACCTTCTCTTATCTTTTCCAAATTATGTATCTGTTACTGTAAAAGCTCGAATTGCAGTAAATCCTAAGATATTCCAGTAAAACCTAAGATTTACCAATTCCTAATGGTAAATGTCCTAAAAGGTATGTGATTCAAACTCTTACCACCATTTCGTTGGTAAATCTTAGGATTTACATTAATGGCACGGTAAATGTTGAAAAACAAAACATGTCAACCGTTTAGAAGATGTAAAAACTGCAAATAACATTAAAAAGAAGGAAGCTGTTCATACAGGCGTATAAAATGCTATGATATTTTGACTATAGGCGGCGAAGAAAAGCTAATTGATATGATAGAGATTGAGATATTCAGAGATACCTATACGATATGTATTTTTAGGGTTCCGTAGCTTAAAGGTATATGCACACTGCTATAGGGCGTGCACGGGTCGTACGTTTTAAAGACTCGGGTAGATTTCATGCAAATGTTAAGCTTCATAGTATTTTTAAATACCTAAAATCTTCAGATAAGTTTATCTTAGTTTAGATAATTTTATTCTAAATTCTGCTGAACCGGGGTTCAAATGTTACATTTAAATTTAAATACCTATTTTACTAGAAATAAGAATTTTGCCATTAAAAGCTCCAGTTGTGTAATTACCGTTATAAATTAATTACCGTTAGTTCAAAATAGATTTTGAATTTTATTTAAATAGTAGACATGAATTTAAAATAAATAAAGTTGTTTTTACATAAATTTTACTTCCTATAACAATTTCCGAACCGAAATTTTTAGATTGTCTGTCGAATTACGAATACGAATGCATGAGGAACCAAATTGTAAAAAGTATTTATATTGACTTACCCGAGTAACGTGGTGCTTCCCTCAGGACAAAAGTATTGTTGCTGTACGAAGCAGTTATCTTCTTGAAAGCTATCTTCATGGCAGTCTCGTGCGCATCCAAATAATTTCCTATACTGACGTCTTTACACGTGACCACCTTCATTTTGTTGGGTTTGCAGTAGTCAACGAGGACGGGAGGGCAGGAACTGTTGAACACTGATATCTGCCATATCTCTGGCTTGATCTCACCAAGGTTCAGTTCTTTGATGAGGTTAGCTGCCGCTTTGAAAGCGTTTTCTCCGCCGAGATTCTGTTGAAAGAAAACAGTTAGGTATATGAAACATCTATTTTTACTGAGATTAAGAAGTAAATTGACTTTGGCATACCTTTATTTGAAGATTCGCGGTAACTTTCTGGTAAACTGCTGGGTGCTTGGGCAACAAACTGTCTATCACATTGGACCAGTCGTCACCATTTAGCGACCCTGTGAAAGAATTGACATTATTTTGACACGTATTTTGTTAGTCGGCGTTGTATTTACTACCCTACGTGGCATGAGCTCTTTGTATGAAACACGGTCCAGGAACAACCGAGTCTTACCGCGGTTTCACGCCCCACGAAAGCCCCGTAATAGTGCGCGTATACCTTTAAACTTTAACAAAAACCAATTAATATTATGCATCGATTCATTTATTCACGCTCATGCTACCCGTTCTATAAAAGTTTAAGTATCCATTTAGTACCATTTATTCATTAGCGGCATCCTTATTTGCGTGCCAAAGGTTACCATTCTCTGGCACAAGAAAATTAGGGATAGTTTATTGTAGCTGAGGGAAGTTTGGCTACAATAAAACGGCGTAACATCCCTGGGGCGGGTTAGTGACGATATTTATGTTAATGTTTGACATGGAAAATCGTTACTGCTAGTTTCTTTGGTAACGGCCAAAATTTGCTGTGTAAAGCTTTAGTCTGATCTGACGATACCGTTTATGTAAGTGGGACTGATAGGAATTTTAAGTGTATGAGTAACAATAACACGAGGGGCTAACGGGACTATTAGTAATTTATGCAATACAAAAATCTAATAATATAATCTTAATTAAAAAAGAAGAAGAAAAAAAAGAGATCTAAGGTTTAATACCGTAACAAAATATCAAAACTTTACAAGGTAAAGCTTGGGTTAATTACAGCTAAAAACCATCAAGGATCAATATTATGTTTGATTATGTTGGGTTGTTACTTAGGTAATTAAGTACCTACGGAGATTGAACTTTTTTAATAATTTTTACACACAACACTAAAATAAAAAAAAACAGTGTCAACACACAGCTACGTATAAAATTAGTAATTTTTTTCTAGTTATACTTTGGGAGATGTGTGTTTCACCGGCAGGTCGTTATCACACGACATGTCATTTCGATGACATGCTAGAATTTAGGTTTAGCAGTTTAATAAACCTTGAAGGAAAGTCTTTTATATACTCACTTAACAAATGAACCGGTAAGTTGCCCCCAACCTCCTTGTCGCCCAATAACCTCAAGGCCACGTACTTATGTAGCTTTACGTACAAAGGCTTCACCCCTTCCCAAAGCTCGCGGGCTTTCAATATGGCACCCTCGTATTCTACTAAGGAATCCCAGTATTCTTCCACAGTCTTGTAATCTGGAAATAATGGCTTGGTTAATAAATAATGTATGTATTTTACTATGTTGGTTTATTAAGATAACAACGGAATAACTATAACGATATTATGGTAAAACTGAAAAAACTTATGACTAAGCTAGTTAAAGTAGCTAAATAAATGTTTCCTTAAATTACATAAAAGTCAACAGTACCTACCTACGTATTTTTAGATTACATAGAAGTTAAATAAAGGGTGTTAAAAGAGCATGAAAGTAAAATAAAGTGTGTTAATACGAAGACATAGCATGGTATAGGAAGAAATTCAAGATCAATTTTATCCTCAAATATAGGAAAAAATTAATTAAGTGTCAACAGTGAAAACAACCATAGTTTCTAAATTGGTAATAATTGGAATTTTTTTCCCCCAAAATTCACGACTCCGAAGTTTCAAAATTGTTATAATGGTAGTTATAAAAGTATTGTTTTTCTGTACCTTTCGATGCATTTCCTAGAAGAGGCAGGATTTGTTCTACATATTCGTTGATGTCTGGCAGGTTACTCTCCCATGATTGTTTCATTTTCTTCAACACTGCTTCATCTTGTTCCTTCGCCAAACTATTGTGGAACTCTGTCAAAGATAGAATTTATATCATAAAAGATATCAGACATTTATTAAAAACAAAGAGAGGAAACTGCTTCAAAAGAGGCCTGTTTGCTTTTATTGAAACGTGTCTGTAGATTTTATTTTATGAATTTCTGGAATAAACTGCAACAGAGTCTAATCAAAGTGCTTTCTTTTGGAATCCGTGGGTGTTTTATTGAAGGAAAACCGAATATCAAAAAATATTAGTATTACTGATCAACGTGATTAATTATTGATACTATGAAGTGAAATAGCGCGCGTTTTGAAAACAAGATCTAAAGTGTTTTATAAACATGCGTCTATATCCATATTACATGCTCAGTTTGCTCATAGATTGAGGCTCCAGATTAATAGATTGTTTCAGCCAAATGACGTCCACTGCTGGACAAAGACCTCCACCAAGAATTTCCACAACGACCGATCCTGAGCTGTCCGCATCCAGGCACTTTCGGCGACCTTCACCGGGTCGTCAGTCCACCTGAAAGCCTGCCCACACTACGTATTCCGGCCAGTAGTCGTCACTCACACACAGAACTTTTCTGCCCCAGCGGCCATCAGAACTGCGAGCTATGTGCTTCTATTGCTCGAATGTGAACTCTAAAAGCTCATATTAAAGGTTACTTTTAAACTTACCTCGCAACGCGCAAGTTCTCGACCCGCAGTCGTAGTTGGTCGCAAACCTTATTTTATTCTGCGCCTTATCCGCAAACGTCACCAGCTGTAACCAACATTTTCTATTAATAAATTATTGATTTCAGCACTCACATCTAAGATTAACTAGATTTCCTCTTCTAAGTTGGCCCGCCTACGTAGGCATATAATATTTACGACCACTTCCTCTCAAGGGGTCTAGCCTAATATTAGAATTAACATTAATAATTTATGTATGAACCAGGTTCTTAGACAAATGAAAAATATTTGTTTGAAACTCCACGTTTTACTAAAATCACGCAAAAAGCGTCATATAATTTCGTGGCTATAAATAAAGCGAGTGCCTGTTTTAGTAAGTTCTTGTAAATAAATATATTTTGTTATGGTCTAACATTTACCTCAATCAGTGCCTGAGGTATAGGAGCGGAGCATGGAACGGTGTTTTTGAAACGTCAAACGCCAGCGAGACTTCAGATAATAAGCTTCAGATTTGTATGCTATGTCACATCATAATACGTTAATGTCAAACCCTCCCGCACCGCTCTCATATCTCAGGAACTGAATGAGCTTAGCTCAATCTAATCTATACTAATATTATAAAGCTGAAGAGTTTGTTTGTTTGTTTGTTTACTTGAACGCGCTAATCTCAGGAACTACCGGTCCGATTTGAAAAATTCTTTCAGTGTTAGATAGCCCATTTATCGAGGAAGGCTATAGGCTATATACCATCACGCTAAGAGTAATAGGTGCGAGTGAAACAAACAAAAGCTAATTTGACACTGGTTTATTTTTTCTTAATAGGTTAATCTTAGGTAAATCTATGGTACAAAAAAGTGTGTAAAAGGTTTATAAAAAGGTGGTCGTGACAAGGTGCAGAGCAAAAATGATTTTCACGCGTACGAAGCCGCGGGCACTGCTAGTTTTCAATATTGCCAACATTGATAAGTAATATTTTTGGTTGCGCCTGCCCTGAATAAAAGTCTCATGAGATTATTGTAATGTAAGATGAGAAACCAGAATCTTGGAGTTATACTTATTTACCTACACCTGTTATGTAATTTATATCAGTAAATAAATTCAACAAAATATATTTTTTTAATAATAAAGATTCACTACTTTTAATAACTTTTAAGCCTATACCTTTAAAAGCAATTACCAACCGATAGTACGTGTAAAGGTAACGGGAAAGCAATATATCCCCCGGGACGCGCCCGTGCTGCCATCTCATAAATAAAACGCAGGATTTATGTGGAATTACGTTATCCTATCTATAGCAATAAAAATAACCAAATCATTTTATTACAGGATCTCATAATGAAAATTGTAACCAGTAGATTTGTTGCACGGAATGGTGTAATTGAAGTAGCAGTCAGTAGAAGTCTGATTTAAGGTCAATGAAATTTTTGAAAGTCGCATTAGTTAGACAAATGCTAGACTTTTATTTATTTTATAATAACTACTGACCCGGTTTAAATTGTTTGATAGCACATTACCTAACTGAAAATTTGGCTACATTATAACTTACTCATCAGTTTTCCTCTCAAAATTGACGCTTGAACATAGTATCACTTTTACTTCTATTTTGAAATACTCCTCCAAGATTAAACTGGTTCATCTCATTAGGTACCTCATAGGCTCAAAATGTGTGGACAACTTTAATTTTAATCATTACAGAAATAAATAGGTAAGTCTATCAAAGCTAAACCTGAAACCTGAATCTTTTTGTCCTACACAAGTAAGACTACTGAACTCATCTTGATTGTAAGACCGTGTACTCGTAATATTTATCACAGGTAAATGAAACGGTTTCAGAATTTTGAAATGCTGATCTGAATTTTAGATGAAAATACATGCGAATGGCAGAAAATGAACTCTTGTAGCTTTGATGCTTAACTGCAAATTGCTCTTTTAGTAAAATAAAGTCAAATTCCAATTTATAAAATTGCTGCATGTGAAATGTAGATATGTTAATGTAGGTACGTATAGGTACAATCTAGAATAAATAGTTTTAAAAAGCAACTGTTACTGACTGTCTGATCTATCAACATACATTTAATTGATAGAAGTCCATACCGGTGAAGCCGTGCTGGTATCATTTACTCCATCATCATCATCATCATTTCAACTATAAGACGTCCACTGCTGAACATAGGCCTCCCCCAATGATTTCCACAATGGCCGATTGGTGGCAGCCTGCATCCAGCGCCTTTCTGCTACCTTTATGAGGTCAGGAATCATTTACTTGTAGGACGGAAAATAAATAATACTCACTCTTATCCATTGGTCGGTGTCCAACAAAACATCACCAGGCTGCAGTAGAAGGTGCACTTTACGCTTCATCAAATCATCAGTCTGTGTCAGCGAGTGCTTCGTGATAGTCTTAAGTTCTTCAAGGTTCTTCTTTACGAAGATCTTGTATTCTTTGTCCCGCTCCAACTGCGGAAAATAAATATCTATAAATCGTACAGTTTAGCCCATAGGGTTAAGTAACTAAGGTATAAAAATAACTGAGCTTTTTGGTCGTATTCCATAAGTATTTTTTTCAGTAATTACCTACTACATTTACCTGAATTTGTTGAAAGCAAAACAGGACGTTATCAGAATCGTTATTTAGATTGTTATTGATAAATTAAATCACATTTCTATCGATTCCAGGAAAAAAACAAATGACATTCGAATTCGACAGTGATTTAAATCTGTATAACTTTTTGCTGACTTATCCCTCCAATTTTGTATTCTAAAATTCATTAACGAGGCCTCAAATTACTAACCCGTATAATTTGAACCTCGGGAAAACGACCGCGATCATCTTCAAAACAAAACTCTAACCCCTGGGTGTTGGTAAACATCTTCTTTGTTGTTTACCGAGAGTCACTTGTTTTCGTGCCCTTGATATTTTTATAGTAAGGTCGGCTTTTTACGAAGCACGTTAGGTGTAACAGAAACTCATGTAGCGTTCAAGGTTGTATCCGGGACAAATATCAAGATAGTAGATACATACATAGGCATCACATATTGGGTGTCTTATACAACATAAAGGGTGCGGTAGATCTTTTATTTTATTTTGTCCATTTCCCTTTCTTGGCCTACATCTTCGTATTATATTCGGTTCTAATTGAGGTTTTACTGAACGAACTACAAAAAAGTTAATTCTAAGCAAAGTTTTGTGAGCTGCTTTATTAACCCTCCGTGTACGAGGTAGAGGTGGGCGCCACGCCGGCGCGCCGCCGCCGCCGCGAATTTTTTCACGCCGCCGCCGCCGACGACCAGCTGTCGGCGCGCCGATACTGATACTGTACAAACTATTTGCAATTTATTCCTCTCCTATACTGTACTAATTTGTGTTTCGAACGCTTTTTTATTGAGTTGAGAGGCTATTCTAGTTCAATAAAGTCCTAGTATCACTGCGACTGGACCGATCTATTGTGATCGCCGCTATTTTCCTTACAGTTCGCCTCCGAGTCCTGCATCCATTAGGAATTGCAGTATCTTTTGGGGGGTGACATGTTTTGTTTGCATCTTGTGGGCTTAGGATGTGTTTGCCCAGGTGTAAGCTCCGCTTGCGCATCAAAGGTCCGCAGTCCGTGAGAATGTGTAGTGGCGTTTAATCTGCCTCTTGGCACATCCTGCACGTTCTTGATTCGGACAGTCCCATAGTGGAAAAGTGCTTGTTTAAGCTGCAGTGTCCAGTGAAGGCTCGAACTAAGATGCGCATTTTGATCCTACTCAGTCCTATGATCTGCTAAGAGCATTTTCGGTCATAGGCTTTTATGAGAGCTTTGGAATGATCTGAGCTTTAATCCTGGCGTGTCTGACCATGCCTTAAATTAAAGGATTTGTTTAAATAGATGTTCTCCAAGGTCATTCGAGCGAGACTTTTGGGAATGCCACAAAAGGGTTCTGGACCATATTGTGTTCATTCCGCTCCCGCTCTGGCCAGTTTGTCGGCATTTTCACTGTCCACGATTCCCGCGTGACCTGGAACCCATCTCAGCGTTACTCTGTTACGTTTTTCTAGGGTATTCAGTCGACTCATGCAGTTTTCTACCAACTTTGTGGTGATTAAGTTGGAGTTTAAGGCCATCAGCGCGGCCTGACTGAGTTATTTGGTTGGCATAATTTTTTAAATTATGTGGTTGGCATAATTTTTTCGCAGGTTAGCTTCCGCACATTTAATAATGGCGTAGACTTCTGCCTGAAAGATAGAGGCAAATTTGCCCAGGATTTGAGATAGCCTAAGCTTCGGCTGTTCTCCATACACGCCAAAGCCTACGTTAGGGCCCATTTTTGACCCATCAGTAAACGATATAACAGAAGAACTAACTATTCTATTTATTCTTTAATGCCGTTGACATACTAATAAATTGATTGAATAACTTAATACTAACTATATTAACAGTTAATTAAGTAAATTATTCAAGTTGCTGCTTGGTCTAGTAAATAATTGATCGCGAGCGGCACCGGTCCCTCTTGCTGTCAAGAAAAAAATCCCCGCCTTCGTCTGGCAGACAACCCACACTATTGGACTATACTTGAAGCGAATCACTCACACAGAGATTGGCAAATATGTCTCGGAATGCAAATGGGAACCAAAACCTCTGGAAGGCAACAAAGTACCTCCCTCAGTGTTCTTCGCTTATTAGGTCCGGTAACACATGAGTGCGAACTGACAAGAAAAATCTCAGACCTTTGCTACATGACAAGCCGGTTTATTTAAACCCATTGACACGGATAATCTAAAAAATCCACAATTCAATCAAAAAAATAAGATCAAGTATTGGACTTGATCTGAGACTTGCAGCTATGCCTGCCTGTGATTCCTACTGATGATGATGATTCATCCGACCGATTTCGGTCATGGTGACCACTTCGACTTAGCTGTCTTAGCGGCGCTGGTGCGCCCGAAGATGGCTTACATAGCCGATCTTCGCGGCAAACTCCTCGCACATTGAGAGTAATTACCCGCCGCCAGCATAATTATAGTGAATGGCGGCAGATGGACGGGATTTACATCATCGCGTTTTGCGTCGAGTTCAGTTGTGCACTGTTGTTGTTGAATTCGCGGACTGANTCATCTCATTTGACTAAAAGTTCTTGAAAATTTCAGATACCGTAAAAATCACGAAAAATAATATTATTTGTATTGAATTTTATTCAATTGACAAAGGTAAAAATATATAAATTACACCAAAACTGTTAAATTTTTTTTAAAACTTTTTAACAACGTCCCGTACCAGGTGGGGTGTGTGACACCCACACGCACTTTAAAGGCATGTAACTCAGTTGGTAGTCACCGCTGGACTGATTTTGCAACGCTGATCGAAGCAGCAGTGTCATAATTCCAGCTACTGGGAATTTCAAATTCAGCACTTGCAAATTTTTAAAATTGTGGCTATTTTTAAAGGACTGGGGTGTGTCACACCCCACCTCGTACAGCGAGGGTTAATGATTTATTGGTTACTGATATTATATTTGAGATCTCATGTTTTTTATTTTGATACGCTTTATTAATGAAAACTACAGATTGTTACAGCGCGCGAATTCTAATGGGGGCGGGGCGACTGTCCCAAATTTTTAACAAAATATGTATGCAAACACGTTTTGGGTCTAGCAATTCGGCTCAAACTACCTATTGGACAAAAAAGAAAACGAGGCCGGCCCGCTAAGTCCAAGCCAGCACTTATTTATCATACAGTGACGATGAGTAGGTAGAGCTCCTCAATCCTCATAGGTACCAATATTACAGTACAATAGTACCTGTTGGCGAGGTTTCATGCGACCACTTAGGGTTCCACGAGTTAAGACTCAAGTCTTAAAGACTTCAGGGCTCAAGTCTTTGTAGGTCAGCCTCGTAATGTCGATACCTTTACAACACTAGGCTGCGAGGGAGTGGAATTCGATCCTAAAATGCTCAGTTCGTTTGCCACGCGTTAATGATAGTGCAACATAAACGTTGCTATTAAACGAAATTCGCAGAAGTTGTTAAATGGTTTCGTATCCGTGATGTTTCAATGCGTAATATTATCATGCCAATATTATTTGATAGTGTATTCACGCGTAATATTCATAATTATTAGGTTTCGTTTCAGTTTAATTTATATTGCGATTCCATGTGAATTAACATTTATTTAATACATTTTAACTGTAGACTTCGTAGGTAGCAAAAAGAAATTATCTTTCACTTTTTGTCAGATAAGTTGATTTAAAAACTTAGTTCAACATTAGATTTGAACTATGCTATAGTAAGTAGGTAGTTCCTACGTAACGTAATACAGTTTTAATAAATTAATATTTTTTCTTAACTTTTTTTTTAGGTTAAGCATCAGCAATGTAGATACTTCGTTTATTTTGTTAGTCACGTGAACTTGAACATTTATGAATGGCATAGTATTCAAAGAAAAAGTGTGTCACTAACCTTAGTTTGCAAGCCCTTAGGGCTGCCAATGAGCGCGTCCCACGTTGCCGACGCCCTGTCGGCACAGTTGTCGGTGTAGTCGAACTCGACTAAATCGATTGCAGAGGTCAACAGCTCGCTGTCGTTGCCGTTCGACAACGTCGCAGAAAGGAGCAGCACGAAGAAGTGGAAGAAGCGAAGTGAGATTGTCAGCCTCATTTTTGATCTGCGGACAACAAAAAAGAAGTTAAAATTTTTGATGATTTATATTGTGAATCATCATAAAAAAGTAGTTTCTCGGGAAGTAGGTAGATGTTAAAAACGCAGGTTCTATTATAACATTAATCTTGTCACAGCTTCGAGACTAACGCCCGTATTCTCAAACTCGCTTAAGGGAAGCAGAAAATCGAACGCACAGCGTTGAATAGAGCTCTGTGATTGGTTCGTGTGTCACCCTGTGCGTCCACGCGAACTGTGAATCGAGACGATGGATTGATAACTTTACTCCTTTACGAAAAAACTACGAGATGGATTTCGAAACTTAGTATCATTAATTTACATTTAACGAAACCCACGCGAATTAAGATGCGAGCAGAGACCTATTCCATTATAAATCACTTCTCTGTAGAAATTCAGCTGTAATAAAGTAATATTTTCGTAACTGTCGGAAAGCTTTATGTTTTAGCCATCAAAAGCCTTCGAGCATTCAGGATGAAATGTTGTGAGCCTGTTTTAAGGCGTTATTCTGATTTAACTATCCTTTTACTTCATGGAGTTTTTGTGGGTATCAATTATGTCGGCGTAGAGACTTCAAAAGGTCGGATTAATGATCAAAACGGCATAAAAACGGGCACTAGGGTTGCCCTGTGTAATTATTCATCTTTTTATAACACTACAATTTTTTTCAGCCAAACTGATTAGCTTGGTTTAAAATAATTTAGATTTAATATTTTTTTAATATAATTTATTTTTGAATTCGCTTACTATGGGCCTCATAAGAAGGCTCAAGGTCACCCAAAGGGCGATGGAGCGGGCTATGCTCGGAGTTTCCCTGCGTGATCGAATCAGAAATGAGGAGATCCGCAGGAGAACCAAAGTAACCGATATAGCTCGCAGAATTGCTAAAATCAAGTGGCAGTGGGCGGGGCACATAGCTCGTAGAGACGATGGCCGTTGGGGCAGGAAAGTTCTCGAGTGGCGACCACGGGCTGGAAGACGTAGCGTGGGCAGGCCTCCTACTAGGTGGACCGACGATCTGGTGAAGGTCGCGGGAAGAGCCTGGATGCGGGCAGCGCAGGACCGTTTATTGTGGAAAACCTTGGGGGAGGCCTTTGTCCAGCAGTGGACGTCATTAGGATGAAAACGAAAACGTAAAAACGTATAATTTATTTTTGAATTAGTAAATGGTATAATTACAAAAGTCATGCTCACGAGAATAATGCTGATATAAATATTTCACACTTTCTTGAATTTAATTATGCTTGTATTACTCTCCAGTGACCAGAAACTAGGACGTTAGATCCAGTTTTTAACAAAATGTTGAAAAAGAAAGTTTTCTAGGAACAGTTTTCTTACAAAAAAGCGTGGAACTATTACAGGAAGTCGCCAACCCTGACTGTAGCGGCGCCCATTCAGTCTCTGAAAGGGTCACAGTGATGAAAAGAAAATTAAAGTCCAAGCATTCATAAACGATTGTTGCTTCCAACTCTCAGACGCCTTTGACTCGAGATATTAAAACTACATCAAGTGAGAAAAGTGGGGGATTTTTTTTATGTAAATTTTACAATCTGGCGGGAAACGCAAAGGGCTTTGAGCGGGGAATATTTAAAGAAGCGATTGTCGGTAATTTTTGAACCTTTGCGGGTGCTTTTTTTAGAAATATACAATGATATTTAAAAAAAAAACGACGGGGTGTTATTATAATTACGATTGTGTTGCAAGAAAATATACTATAAGTGCCTGCAAACACAGTTTACAATTATGAAAAAAAAAACAGCTTGGACATCTTACCAGTGATGTGGCAAAAGATTTCGTTGCACCATTTTACTTTAACTTTCAAAAGTCTGTCTAACTCCATACAAAAAGCACCGGTTATAGTGACGGTTAAAATAAGATGGTGCAACTCAGCTTAACACTTTGTAGTTAACAAACTTGAATATTCATATTAATTCATTCATATATTGTAGTCGTCGCTTTTTAGTACCAATTCAAAAAGATAAATCTATCCGGGTCTACGGGGGTTTAGTTTTAAGCTTTATTAGAATTTATAATAATCTTCTATAATATAAAAATGAAAATAACTCAATAACGCCTGGACTAATTTTACCAATTCTTTTTTTTAATGTTCGTTGAAGTCCATAGATGGTTTTTACGGCGACAAAATTTCGAATAATTTCCGGGAAAACCCTAAAAACAGTCCTTTTTTCACGCGGGCGAAGCCGCGGGCGGAAAGCTAGTAATTATATAATTTTATACCATCGCATAACTCACAAACCACACGAAGCTTATCATTCACGTGTATTTGCTGTAAGCTGTTAGGGTCTCTCAGGATCTTCATCAAGCGATTGTCAGTCCAATCCGGTCCGGACCCGTTCCGGATCGACGTCGATTTATGTGCGATTGTCTTCAAGGATGTCTGACCAGGTGATGCAGTTGGTATTGACAGTCAATTAAATGAAGTCCACTAGGGATGCGCGTAGTTCAATATCGAGGATTTGGTTTTACATAATCAACCGACAAGCAAAATACGCATACCTACCTATTATCAGTCATCTATCTATCTATCTATCTATCTATAGCAGCCTTTGGGTTCGCCTTCGAACATAGGCCTCTTCTTCAGCCCTCCACCGACTTCTGTCCCTGGCCACACGCATCCAGTTCACTCCAGCCTGCTGCCGGATGTCGTCTGTCCATCGTTTAGGCGGTCTTCCCCTTCCGCGGGTGTTGTTGCGGGGTCTCCACTCCAATACGCTTTCATAACTTGTTTTGTAAACAAACGAAATGAAGGGAAATCTTTTCAATCAGTTGAAAACTCAGTAGGTAACCAATTTTTCACTCTCTAACAAAGATCAACTCAAGTGTCCGTCAAAAGATTAGGCAACGCTGCCTAATCCAAAAGTAAGCCCGTTACCGAAGAACAGGATGAATACACTAGACTGGTAAGTTACGCTTAATCCCTAAAATTAATTGCGGTCAAAAACTTCTACGGAACACGTTTGAATAAAATCAGAATAACTACTTTTCACTCTCTCGAAGATCAACTCAAGAGTCCGTCAAAAAGGTTGGGCAACTCTGCCTAATCCAAAAGTAAGCCCGTATTTAGTTACGCTAGCCCATTCCCTCCCCAATCACGTATCATCTTCAATTACTTTCCTGGTTCCTAAAGGATTCGCCCGAGTAGCCCCGGAAAGGGTGAAACAAACCGAAAACATTTAGTTAGCGAGTTTCAAGTTTTCGTTACAGTGGGAGAACTGCACAATCAAAAGTTTCGGCTTCGGTTTACCTTTGTAACTGGTTAGAGTAAGGGTATTAGTTATTTTTACATGCATTATTTTATACATACTCTTTAAAACAAGATATTTTGAGCCGGACGTTAATCGTTCGTTTGCAGGATACGGAAAATGTTAATTGTGGATTGTGAGTTAGGGAAGCTATTATTATGTATAAGATTAGTGCGCTTAAGGATAGTGTTAAGTTGATACCTTTAACGACACGAAAACTGTTACTCGTGTATATTTAGACACCGCGCGTAACCGCACGTAACTCACGTCAGTATTTACCCTAGCATACGCGCACATTTCAACTCAGTTATTACGCACTAATAAACGCACCCGTTAGTTCATGTACGGACGGCATGTCAAGCTAAATACTGAGGGGTCTTATTCAGTTGTAATTGGGTTGAGTTTGCAACAAAAAATATATGTTTGATATGCTGTCGTCTAGCGTAGAACTTGGAGCAAAACTAGAAGCATGGCGTGAGGCAAATTTCAGCCAATTTTGTGTTACTTATACTGCAGTTTTCTGTGTTTCAACGATATTAATTTGTTCCAAAATAACTGAGAAATGCCAAAGCTTGACCTTTTAAACTCATTTCCGACACCCATCATGACTTGGGTGTAATGCGCCGTGAAAAAACGCGTTTATCTATCTATACATAGAGCTCTCCAAAGAAATGCGTTCTTAATGAACTTTCTTCATGCGGTTTGTGCACATAGCCACTGTCAAGAACCCATAGTTCACACTATTAATATTTGGAAAAAAATATGTTAATAAATTCAAGACACCTGAAAATTGAACCTTTAATTTCTTACAATGAAGTCTGATTTACAAGTAGACGTATAAACTGAAAAGTATAGCATCTTATGTAGGAAATAGAGTCGATTTTACAACCACTAATCTAATAAATGCTGCCGTCTGTGCATAACCGCGTAATACTTACTGACTAAATAATGCTCGCGTCTAGATATAACTGCGGTGTTGCCAGCGCAATCCATTCTAAATGCATTAGCAAATAAGGCCGTGGTACAAGGATTTAGGTTTTAGAATATTAAGGCTGGTTTGCACCACCATACTTTAACTTTGACAAACGTCAAAAATCTGTCAAACTCCATACAAAAAACACCAGCCCCCCTAGACAAAACGCACTTTTTGATCGAATCGAAAATCGAATCCGTTAAATTCCATACAAAAAAGGGGCTTTTCGACCACTTTTCGACTGGTTTGCGATTATAATTGCATTTTGTCTAGACCCACAGTTATCGTTAAATTTATGGTCAAAGTTAGGTGGTGCAACACAGCCTTAGCCTCGAAATTTAAATATTGAGAGTTATGTCACAGGTACAGAGCTTCAAATATTTCAATTGTGATAAAGAAGTGTTTCAAACTTATTGTAAATTGTGTACATTAAATTGGCCGAGTAGATATGAACGATAATGTTTTTTGTTCTTTGTTTTTTGTAGGGAAGTAAGAAAAGTGCAAAGGCATAATATGCCATACAGCCAACTTTATAGTGTTAATTAATGTCAAGTTACTAAAATTTTAAACGCCTATTCAGTTTAATAACTCGGGGCGTGTAAAATATCGCTACAAAATTGAACTTTAATGAAGATGCCATAGAAACTAATATCATTTCGAACACTGAAAATAGAATCTCTAACCACAGGGCAACCTCAATCTTCAAAGTGGCTGTGAGCATTTGAAATTGTTAGAACTAGAGTGGCTTGAGGT